TGTATCGAGTAATGGAATGAGGAATGGCCCCATGGACCATCAGGGCGTAGTTCACGAACTCATCCCAGTCATTCCCATACTTATTTACATAGTGGCTCATGGTTTGGTTGAGTCCCAGATGAAATTTCTCAACCTTGCCTTGCATCTGCGGATTGAACGCAGTGGAGTTAATTCTTTTCACCTGCAGCAGCTTGCACATCTCCTGGAAAAGTTCCGACATGAAGTTGGATCCTTTATCCGATGATAGAGACTGAGGACAACCCAACCGTGAAAATATCTCCGTAACAAGAACCCGTGCGACTGTCGGGGCGGCTTGCCGGGGTATGGGGATAGCTTCCGGATAACGGCTAAAGTGGTCTATGAAAGTAAGAAGGTACCGGTTTCCCCTCTTTGTTTCTGGATAAGGGCCACATATATCTATGGAGGTCATTTCGAATGGGGAGGTCGTGTCAGGTAACTCTCCCAAGGGTGCAGTGGGGTGTCGCCCTACCTTAAACTTGGCACACGATTCGCACTGCCTCACGTACGTTTCTACATCCCGGTCCATATTGGGCCAAAAGTAATTAAATTTAATTAAGTCTCGGGTCCGTTTCACCCCCTGGTGCCCTGCACACACCTTATCATGATGCATTTGGATAATGGGCTGTATCAAGTTGTGAGGTACACCCAACCTTCCGTTTTCCAAATTTGGTCCCGCGTACAGAAGCCCATCGTCACTCATAAAGAATTTTGACCCCGTATCTGTGCTAATTTCATCCATTATTTCCTTACAATACGGATCCTGTTGCTGTCCCGTGTAAACAGTCTTACGAGTGAGGGTTTCGCCTGACTCAGCACTTTGACATCTCCGGCTTGCGGCTCCTGTAGCAACGGAAGCAATATGTCGCGATAGGCAGTCCGCATTTACATGCTTCTTGCCTGCCTTGTGTTCAATTTCAAAGTCATATTCAGATAATTTGAGAACCCATCTAGTCAATCGTGCACAATGATGGTTCTCCACCGCGATCAGCCACTTAAGGGCGGCATGATCGGTAAAAATTTTGCATTTTCTCCCATATAGAGAACACCTATGTATTTGTGTACCAAATACAACAGCTAGTAACTCCTTTTGAGTCGTACTGTAATTTCTTTCCGCATCATTGAGCATACGGCTAGCAAAGCTGATAGGCCGTTCCTTTGTAACGCGTTTACCCGGCGCCAATGGGGGTGGCAGTTCCCGCCGCCGCCGCGTACTTGCTACTAAAAACTCTCACTAGTGCCACCGAGAGTCCGGGGTTCGTCTTGGTGCAGGAGCTGACGCTAAAGCCCAAGATTAAACAGACCACGCTCCACACGTTGATAATATTATTAACCAAGTTTATTGAAGAAGAAAAAGAATGAAGAAAGATACATAGAAATGTTACATTGAGAATGACGACCCTCGCCTCTTGCGAGCTGCCTTCTATCTGCCTAGCCTCGGGCTTTGCCCCAAAGAACCACCACGTGCTACAGTGTTTTTTTAGGTGGCCATGCGCCCTCGAAGAGTCTGGTGAAGGGGGTGAGGCCGCATGCCGAACCGTCTGGCTCGAGATAACATCGTGTGTGGTCCCTTTAGGACTGCTTATATGCAAAGTATTCTTAATATCAAATGGTTACACATTTAAAAGTTACAATAATTGAACGGGGGTCANGACTCATGGCTGCATAATTTCTTATAAAAGCCCTATAATATCCGGATAGGCCTAAAAATGCGCGGACATCTTTCACCGTTCTTGGCCGTAGAAATTCTCTGATGGCTGTAACTTTACCTGGGTCTGGGGCAACGCCGTTGCTATTAACAACGTAACTCTTCGTTACGACGGCCCTTCAGTAGCGCCAACTTGTTCTGCAGCTGCAGAAGAAGAGAAAATTAACTGCCCTGGTTGTGACGAAGCCTATGAAGAGCCCATTACTGAGGACTGCGTGCAATGCCGTGCGTGTAAGCAATGGTGGCATGAAGACTGTTCAAGCCACGAAGGCTTCGGACCCTTCAAATGCGATATATGTTAACGCGCATTCTCAGAGGACATTGCCTGTAAGACTGCGCATTTACCATTCGCCAGAAAATGTTCTTTTAAAGACAAACTATTTAATATTTGTAACTTTTGATGTGTTTTGTATTCTTGAGAGTCGGGAGTTTTGTTTAATAAATGCAGTTTTTCATGGCATCAACAAGTTAAGTGCGCAATCTTAAGTGACTTTCCCTTAACTACTGCCATTTCATCATCACCATCATCATCATCATCATCATCATCACTGGCACGACAGCCCTTTGTGAGCCCTGGCCTTCCTCAGGATTGCAACTACTGCAATTTACCTACTTAAAATAAGAATTTGAGGTAATTGCGTACATCATTACGCATATATTACGCTACAAGGCATACAGTAAGTAGCAGCTGATGCACTGTGGCCTGATGTTACAGCAAATTTATAGTCCAGGGAGCTCGCTTTGTGTTTGTAATGCGTGATTCAAGCTCCAAGAACATATAGCCAGGGGCTTCATGTTCCCCGACTGGGGTGGCGCCCAATAACTACAAAGGTGAGAGTACATCGTCAACGACTAATCTTGAGAATCGTTAGCAGCCATTCACCAGTGAGCAGCTGCATTCACCTTTACCCTTCACAGCTGGGGCCAACTTTACCCTATCACTGGCCAAAAGCGAACTCCCACAAAGAAATTGTAATATCCCATAGGGTAGTGAGATGTTGAGGCTCCCACATTTTCTAGAACAATCTGCTCACAGATGGCGGTAAGGTCAGCCTTACACGCCGGCCGCCCTTTACCTTCATATTCCTGGTACTCATTTCTGTTTGAGGCTGAGTCGAACCGAGGGCCATAGTGCGGCTCTAAAGAGTAGGTCATTTGAAAAATCCACCTCATCGGGATTCGATCCCGCGGCCTTCTGGCATGTGACCTAAACCATAACGTAGTGTCTTAACATTATAAAGCCATTTCTGTAACAGGCCCTGAAGGCCCATAGGGTTGTGAGACGTCCCACATTGTCTGTCGATAATCGGCTCACAGCTGACTGTGAGGTCAGCCTTACGCTCCTGCCGCCCTTTACCTCCAGGAAGGTTTCTGGTGGTCATTTCGTATTGAAATAAATGTCCATCCTTCAGAAATAGAATTATACGGTTACTTTAAGTCAGTGAGCTAAATCAGGTTTGCCTATGTTTCGGTAGTGAGATGACTGTTCAAGCTTGTGCAGGAAACTTTACACAGGACGCTACATATGTGGATATTCCCGCATTAAAGTAATTACGAAATTTTGAACTATATTTGTAACTGAAACATAATACGATTCTTCTATTTATGAGCGATGTATATCCATTATTCATGTAACAGTTCTAACAATTGTAACTACTGAACGTGGATTGCGTACGCCATCCAATTTGCTGGAAGGGTTTTTTTTTTGCCGGTGACCTGCACTGTCAGAGCATGAGAGCGAGTCTATGCTACGAACTTCGTCTGCAGAGAGAACATTCGTAGGCTGGCACTGGCAACTGGCACGTCGGAAAAGCACACAGTATCTGCTAATAACAGCGATCCTATTAGTTCAACGTCTACCGTGTTACTGAGGCAATATAGTGTCGCTGCGCATGCTCAGCAATATTAGGCTCGCCGACCAGCCAAAATCTGCCGTCCCACCATAACTTCATATCTGAATTCTGTCGACTGTGACAGTTGGTCTCGTAAACCCGGGAACAATCAGATTTACAGCCCGGGTTAGTGCTGTGTGAAGTGTGAAACTTAAAATTGTAAGTATCTTTGGAATCGTGTAAGAGTTGAGGCTTTCACGGCGGTGACTATGAAGAAAGCAGTCTTCTGGGATTTGGCACCACATATACACGGTGCCAAATCCCAGAAGACTGCTTTCTTCATCATTGGAATTCTCTCCAATTCGTGAATATTTAAGTTAGAGCATTGTAACGTGTTTTGCTACTGAAGACGCCCTTCAGATTGTTAATTGGTTTATTTAACAACCTACAAATCGTAACTACAATTCATTATGACAATGTTACGGGTTTACACACTTTACAAACCCTACTCACAAATCTCTCCACTCTATCTTCAGTAGTCTTCACGTTACTGTATATTTAAAACCAAATCTAGTAATTTGTAGTGATGAACTTGGGAGGATGAGTGACGCAGCACCGCCCCGAAATGAGGTTTTGTGGCGTAACCGTTCATGTCCGGAGTTCTGGTTCGAGTCTCGGCTTGTAGACGGACTGTCCGGAGTGTTGTTTGTATAATTCCTCCCCAGTCTGTCCAGGAGAATGCTGGACTAATATCTAAATGCAGTACTCGGCCACTTCCTTCATACCGATATCAGTTCACTGTGATCCAACAGTTCACAGCTGAACTCTGTACTGTTGTGCCCTGGGTTATTAATGGGTATGATTTTATTTAACGATATGTCGATTTTATATTTAATTTATTAGAAATTTATTATTAGTCTTGTAAATTGAAATACGTTGGGTGAACCTCAGGTTGGCAGGCCAGAAACCAGAGTTGAGACCACCTTTAGACGTAGCACCTTTCTCGGGCGTCCCGCTTCAGTTGTACTGTCGTATCCCGAGCTGAAGGTCTTGGGCCCTTGACCAGGCAGCTGGAATACTCGCCTACAGATGAGCCGAGCGGATGCTGATCTGCTCAGGTTGCCGTGGAGCGCTGGATAAGGCGTCGCTTAAGAGTGATTTAGCTCAAAGAACAATCCTCGGTGGTTGGTGTATAAAGACTATTTATTGAAGGTCCATGAATACAAACTCCGTTGCCGAGACTTAGGAACACCCAAGGCAAGCGACCTGCGTAATAACTTTAACTTTCTGGATAAGTGTGAAAATGAAGAGTCCCCCCCTCCGCTTTGTTTGCAGGAATATATATAGGCTTGTACACTGAAGCCTCCCCCTAAAATGACGTAGGTAGCGTCCTTACGTATTCTTTGTCTCGGCATTACAAGAAACACATGCATAAACTAAGCTAGACTAAGCTGGTCTGTGTCACTCACTCCCTATTAGGGTCGCCATACATATACAACTTCCCTTGGCTCCCTTTCGGATAAACACATAAATCTCCTTAACTAATTACTCTAAACTGTCAGAGATTTTTTACTATGTGGTTCGCAACCCTGGATACGACACCTCCCTTCCTCAGGGAGATTGGCTAATACGGTTCATTTATTCTTTATTAGCCAATCTTCGAACCTATGGTTATTTAACTTTTTCCTACGGCTAACTTCTTACTGCTAGGCCTACTTGTTTTGGGGGTTACAACAATATTCATTGGGGTCAACTCAGTTGTGTCACCTTCTGATTCAGCTGCGTCCTTCACATTAGTAGCGAGGCTAAGAGTCATACCTCGTCGGTGAAGACTATCAGAGGATGCATGAACACTATTTATGATCCTAGGTTTAAACACAATAGATCTACAGTTATCACCATCCGTGAACCACTTCAGGAACCTCGGCCAACATTTCCTGCAACATTTGCAACAGCAGCAACAACATAGCACACTTATGAGTAACCCTAATGCAACAGAACCAATAGTTGCTAGTATTGACAACCGTGATGTAGTTATTGAGTGTTTCATTTTCCACTCCTGATCTGCAATTAATCTTTCTACTTCCTTAATCTTATAGCTGGCCATTTCCAGTTCATCATTGTGAGTGAGTATGTTCTTTATTGGTGACTCCAGCTGTAATTCATTCAGATTAATTCTACTAAATGGTGCCTCACAACAGTCAAACTCCAATTGTAAAGGTGGAATAATATCCTTCTTTGTGCTGTTCACAGAGTGCGTGGTGAGGGATCTAATCATTATCTTATCACCATATCCCGTACAATCTGCAAGAAACATCAACGTTCCACTACCCTTTACCTCAATTTCGGAAGGTGCTTGATCTGGACAGATAATGGTTATATGATCTGTTACGGGGGCCACGAAAATCCATGAATTATCTCTTAGTGGGGTCCAGAGCGTCTCCCTCAATTCCAAAATTCTTTGTGCACAACTCTTTGGAATAGCTCTGACCGGCTGTAACAGCTGAGCCTCACAATCGCTGCTTGTGTGGCTGACTTGTAGGGGAAAACTTTGCTTGCACACCAATCTACTGTTACTCATCTTTTTACACATTCCCAAGTCATTCTGATGTAACCTTACATAAAATTGTTTTGTAGTGTCTAACATAATGTATTCTTTCTCTGGCTGTATGAAGGTAAATTTGTTAATGGTATCTTTAACCTTCATCGGAAATGGTATGACCTTATACACATCAAATATATAATGAGTTGCTAATGGTACCTTTACTACATATAAAAGATTACTATCCACTATATATACTTCTATGCTTACAATATTAACTAATTGATACAGATAAGCTTCGCTCAGGGTAACTGGTACTTGCAAGTCGCGGGGAAATCCATCCTGACTGGATTTCAAAACTTCAAGCAAACGGCTTGGCGACAGTACCTGTGGTTGCATGATCCCCTGCTTCGCGTTCAAGCAAGATTGAATCAAAATGTCGTACTCATCCTTCACTTCTTCTAAGGCTCTCTGTATCTGAATAGCATGGTCGTTCAATGCCACTAACATGGCGGTGTACTCATACTTTTCCTTTATCAGACCGTTCTCCTTGTTAATGAACTCCTTAATTTCTGTTAATCCCATTTTCAAAATTAATTCATTGTTGGAAACATCATTTAATGTTTTGTTAACAGATTTTAGGGTGGACTTAACAACTACCATCTGTTCCCGTGATAACTTTATTAAGTCAGCCTGCTCCCCTTCGAGTTGCGTAATTTTACTGTTGTAAAACTCTTCATTATCCGAGTCTAACACCCCGAAAAGCGAATGTGATACCTGTCCTATGAAATTGAATAGTCCTCTTTTGCGTCTAGGAACGACCTTCTCGGTCCTAGTGAGCTGGGAAACAAGGCTCCTCATTTCCTTCACGTTCCTTAGCTTTCTGTTGGCATCGTTAATAGTCCTGCATTCTGTCAAATTTAGCCATAACGTGTCGTCATGCTTTCTGCAAAATTCTACAGTCTGTTCAATATATTTACTTACAGTATCAACATTGTCGCTGGCCTGCTTCAGATTTAAGTAAGTCACAATCTTCCATTCGCTGTTATATAATCTTGCATCTGCCTCGTGCTGATAGTAAAGCCCGGGTGAACTCTGAACCGGTTCAATGCGTACGTCGAGCGCTACGCCCTCTGCTACTCCGTTAGCAATTATCCCCAGGATTAACACCCACATCTGTAATCATGTGAAAAACAGTTTAGCCCTATTGGCGTGTATCTTGAGTTCTTTAGACCGTCTCGCGCGCAATACGAGGTTCGGCCCCTCTATCCTCAATATCTCATATGGCCCTACATAAGCTGCTTCTAGCTTCTTAGATCGGCCACGGCGAACGCTTTCATCTCGTACTAAAACCATGCTGCCTACCTCAAACTTCGGTACATGTATCGCGCGGTCGTAATTCCTTTTATTGTTTAATTTAGCTGCCTCCAAATTTCTCCTTGCCATGGCATAACTACTCTGCAATCTAGCCTCTAGTTCCTTGACAAAACTGTCATAGGCATAGTATGCACTTTTCGGTTCTCTTTGCAGAACCCCCGGCAGGTTTGGTGACCGGCCGTACAGTAGTAGAAATGACATGTAATTTATCGAACTTTGTGGTGTGGTGTTATGTGCGAAAGTGGCATATCTCACCCACTGATCCCAATTTCTTAAATCCTTGTCCACATAACTCCTAATATATTCCATCGAACTTCGATGAGTTCTTTCTAATGATCCTTGAATCTGTGGTCTAAATGAAGTAGACTGAATTTTCTTTATGCCCAGTAACTTGCACATATTTTTGAAAGTTTCACTTAAGAAGTTTTCTCCGTAATCAGATAAAACTACCTGTGGTTGTCCGTATATTAAAACGACGTTGTCAACAAACGCCTTGGCTACTTCCTCTGCTGTTTGTTCTTTCAGTGGTACAGCAATTAGAAATGTTGACAAGTCGTCTTGCACGGTTAAAATGTATCTGTTTCCTTCCTCACTCGGACTAATTGGACCTACTATATCCACTATGCACTTTTCAAAAACTACGGAGGGTGTGTCTGTGATGGTCAATGGCATTCGAGTGTGACATTGAGTCAGTTTGTTCTTTTGGCATTTTTCACACCTCTTAATGAAGGTTTCCACGTCATCCTTCATCCCTTCCCAACTAACATACTGTTTTAGCCGCTTGTATGTTCGATTCATTCCAATGTGTCCTCCTATGGGGGTTTCATGAAGCTCTTTTAAGATTTATAGCTTCTCCCTATCAGTAAGCTTCGCCTGCTTTACCGTAACTTCCTCGGATTTTCCGTCTGTTCCTGCATTTTCGTTTTCTGCACTAAGTGTTTCCGACCTCTCATTCCCTTTTTCTTCCCCCACGTCCTTGGCGGTTGCTCTATACATCCTACTCAGCTCGTCACTATTGCAGTTCTCTTTTCCCTCCTTGTAAACAATGGGGTAATCGAATTCTTCCAGTTCTAATTTCAATCTCATGATCTTAGAACTTGGGCCATTCATTTTAAATATCCAGGTCAAGGGTTTGTGGTCTGTGACAATAGTGAACTTCCTTCCCCAAATATACGGTCTGAATTGTCGGCATGCCCACACTATGGCTGTCAGCTCCCTCTCAGTCGTCGAGTAGTTTTTCTCTGCTTTAGTTAAAACGCGACTAGCATAAGCTATGGGCAAATCCTTCCCAATTATGCCTTGACTTAATACGCTTCCTATCCCATCTGCGCTTGCGTCGCATGTTACTATGAACTCCCTTCCAAAATCAGGATACTGTAATAATGGCTGGTTGCATAATATGTTTTTCAGTGTTCCAAAAGCCTCCTCTTGGTCGTTTCCCCATTCGTAAGGCGTGTTCTTACATGTTAATTTGTGCAGCGGCTTCGCGATTGAGCTGAAATTTGGCACAAACCTCCTATAATAGCCTGCAAGGCCTAAAAATGCCTTGAGCTGCTTCGTGTTACTTGGAACTGGGAAATCTTTCACAGCGGTGATCTTCCCTTCGTCTGGCTTTACCCCCTCAGGCGTAATCCTGTGGCCTATGTAACAAACTTCCTTTCTTAAAAATTCGCATTTGTCGGGTTGAAGACGTAAGGAATGGGCTCTCAGTTTATCGAAAATTTCTGTTAACCTATCATTATGCTCCTGCAGGGTTGCCCCCCACGTTACTATGTCATCCAAATAAATCAGTGCCTTCGTTCCAATTAAACCACTTACTACATTGTCATTAGGCGTTGGAACGTGGCCGGAGCCGAGCAAATTCCCATTGGCATAGTGCAAAACTCAAAATGGCCGTTCGGTGTCGAAAACGCCGTCTTTGATCTATCCTGCTCTCTTAATGGGACTTGGTGGAACCCATTAGCTAGATCAAGGGTGGTATAGTACCGTGCCTTCCCTAAGGCGTCTAATATTTCGGTTATCAGTGGTAATGGATACGAATCTCCTACTGTGACTTCATTGAGTCTCCTGAAATCTACGACTAACCTCCACTTCTGTTTCCCTGAAGC